ACTGTTCAAAAAGTATGAAGATCAGTGAATACCTTCTATGTATTGATCCTGTAGGAGGTAACTGGAGAACAAGCCGATGATGAAACCAAGAAAACACAGAAAGCTTTAGAAGAGATGAAAGAGAAAGTCAACTCATTAGAATCAGATTTAGCTGTGTCTGAAGCAGAGAATGAAGACATGGTCAGGCAGTTGGAAGAAAGCAAAGGACTGTATCTAATATTAGAGAAGAAATACCACATTGCAAAAAATAAAGTGAAGGAACTTGAAGACAGGTAAAGTTTCATGGTAACGTAGATATAGTGCTTCTAGCCATGTGAATTTCTTGTATGTTGTGGTTCATTGATTCACTTATTATTTTATTTAATGCTCAACTTCAATTATATTAATGATACTATTAATTATTGTATTAGTTGTATGGGAAATGTTGTTTCCCAATGGCTCACATACAGCACTTCAGATTGGGAGGTGGGCTTAGTTCAAGTCCTGAGGGCATTGTTGTGTTCTTTAGCAAATACTTCCCCAAGGGCACAATGGTAGAGATGATTATTCCTTTATGTGTATGCAAATGACCTTTGTTAACCTTGCTTTGAAAGTTCTATTCTTTTGAGCCATGTTACTGAGGCCAGGAAGGCTTAGTTATGTTTACAGGAGGGAATCACAATTACACCCTGTAGGCTTGCCATTTATGAGAGAGTTGCAGGCCAGAGAAGGTGATAAATGTACTGTACAATTATGTTATCTGTTGTTCTGGCAGAGAGCAAGCAAATTCTGTGACTGCTGAGAGATCTGCAATTGAAATAAAGTTACTACAAGATAAGGTGGGTACTTGTGACTTGGTTGATGTTAAGTTAGTCCCTTAACTCCCAAGATCTGATTGTCAATTCTCCCCTCTAGCGACTACACATTTCCTTGTAAATTGATTATGAGAATTTGGTGTTCAATCAAGGCAGTAAATTGTACCTGATGAGTTTGTGTATTCTCACTACCTCTTTGCTATATAATGTATGGATATTATTGGGAGAAGTTACTGTACATGGTAATTACTTCTGGGAGTTTAAGGGTTAATAATTTGTCATGGAAATAACAGTTTGCGTAACAAGTGTTTCATTTTGCATAACTGAAGTTATGCTGTTTGCATAAATTTGAGGAGTTCAAGCTACACTCTTGTGTTTTGTGTGAATTTAGACAATTTGTGGTGTACATACGGTAACAAAGTGCTACACTTACAGTAGGCTCTTCCATCAAAGGCAACCTTATTTGCAACTAAAACCTCACTGATAGCTAACAAAAAAATTTTTGTTGGCAAGATAGGTGTAATAACATTTTCACTCCCAAGATCTCATTAGTGATTCTCTGTACTGTCTGTCATACAATTTTAAGGGTTTTAGTTGGGAGAATTTGGTATTGGATCAACTAAGAATCCCTCAATTGATATTTATCTGACTGTATTCTTATCTCCTGTCTGCATAATATTGTATTAATAATTATTGTAAGGAGAAATTCTGTCTTGGTCACTCATGGGAGTTGAATGATAAACTCTTTGCAGAAGGTTAAACAATGTGTATTCCTGATGCTCAGTTGTTTTTACTTGAATCATCTGCTCATTTTTCTATTTCATTTTCACCCTGATGAATTTTGAGTTGTATTAAAAGTTTCAATCAATGAGCCATCTGTCATTTTTCACAGGTCAAAGAACTGGAGACCCAGTTGAAAATGGTTCAACAGCAAAAGTCAGAAAAGGAAAGAGAAGTGAAAAAAGAGGAAGCAATATCAACTCCAGTGCAAATTGAAGAACAGAATTCTATGCCTGATGGCAAATGGAGAGAGGAAGTTCAGGAGGAAATTGTAGAAAATGGACTGGCTTTTGAAGTAGAGCAGGCTTTGTCAAACTTCCAACTTAGTTGGGATTCAGCTGGAAAAAAAGATGTCACAGGTAACATGTGAGATCTGATTAACAAATGGATTCTGGTGAGGCATCATTCCATGAACACCTACCAGCATTCCATGTATAGGAGGAGAAAGTTATAGTTTTACAGCCCTACACTGTACAATCACTTACTTATATTAATCTTGAGTGTATATATACTTACCTGGTAATCAAAAAGATATGCAGGACATTAAGAAACACCTGGGACACAAGGAAAAGCTCAACTTCAATTATAATGATGTTACAATGCATGTGGTACCTTGAACTCTAAAATGTCACAATTCATATGGGTAATAAACTCTTTTTTCTGTCAATTAGAGCCCGATTTGGAGAGCTCATCAAAAGATGATGTGGATCTAAACAGCATCCCAGCCACAAAAACACTTAGTAATGAACATCTTTTGGAGAAAAAAAGACTCGCTGAAGCGCAGCAGAAGAAATATAAACCAACTCGTGCAAGCTGGGGAAAGTCGCTGGATGATGATGCTTATGACGTAAGACATTATTTCTTTGATTCAAGTGCGTGTGTAATTTTCCTTCAGCACGCGTGGAACTTTCTGTTTAAAGGCGCGTGTAATTGTCGCGCGTTAAATGCGCTAGACGCGCCTGAAGATGCTAAAGTACGGTGATGTGACTGGCTAAGGTTCTAAGTGGTTCTAGAACACTCAATCATAAAAAGTATTTTGCATGATTTTAACTCTTTAACTCCCACTTGATCTGATTGTCAATTCTCCCCTCTAGCTACTTCACATTTCCATGTAAATTGAATTTCTAACGTGACTTTCTATTTAGATGTTTGGAGGTAATGAAGTGTCTGACGTGGAGGACGCTGCTTCTCAGAGTACCTCCATGGAAAACGAGTCCCCTAGGGCTCCCCCTAAGGGACCAGGATTCGTCCTTCCAGGTTTGCCTGTCGGAGGATTCAAACTGAGATCCACAGGGAAAAACTTGTACGATGAATCAGCTGCTAAGGGAAGTGAGTCACCTCCCCAAGAGACGCGAGCCAGCTTCCCTTTGTCGCACAAGGAGGAGACGCGGAACATCGTGGTGGAGAATCTCCTGGAGAAGCAGCTGTCTAAGGCTGATGTGAAGGTGACATCTTTGCCGACTACTGCGCTTGACCGAGCGGACAGAGAGGCGCGTCGTGCGGTGGATGATCAGGAGTCGGAGTGTTTTTCAGGGTCCACTAATTCTTTGGATGAGATTGAAGAAGCTGCGAGAAGGGTGAGAGAGGGTTGAGTTTTCTTTTTGTCTTTTTCGGCTCTAAACCATAACGCTTATCCGGTGAGTTTACTCAGTTGCAAGGGCAAATGAAGCCAAAAGAGTCATTTGCGGAGACGTGAACATTCTGAAGAAAATCACATAATAATTGTTTGGCAAGACGGAATGTTCCAAAAAGATTATGGTGAATGTACAGTGCGGCTGGCGTGTACCATAGCATTACACGCGCTTGACGCGCGCGGAAGGTGCTACCGTACACGCGAGTGGTGTACAGAAGCAAGGATGGTTAAGAATGGAGGAGATTGGAACGGATTGAAAATGACCAACTTGAAAACTTGGTCTTTTTTATTGAAGTTTTCTATTTGTGTTCAATCAGGAAGCTCAAATGGTGTTCCATGTTTTTTTCCAATTCCTTTGCGACTTAACGTTTTCAATTGTAATATTTTTTAGATTGACTCCGACTTGGCCTCTTCCCAGGCCTCCTCTCGAGGTTCGTCTCCATTCCTCCCTCCTGCCATGCCCTTGTTACAAGTGAAGAGTGTTCCCGTGATGGAAAGCTATAATGAAGCCGCCATTGATGTTCCCCCGGAACTGCTTGCAGCCAGCGGTCAGCGAGACTTCGATCAACGATCTGTAGGCACAGGGTCAAACGTTGACGGGCATTCTTCTCTTAGTCCAGGGTCAGACTTAAATTCATCGGGAAATTCACAGCTGATTTCAGACTGGGACACAGATCAGGTGAGTTGCAAGGGGATACACGTAAACAATACAGCAGAGATACATTTAAAAAGAAGTTTTGCAGACCGAAAGTTAAGCAGACCCAAAGTGTGGGAGTTGCGTGACTGACTGGTGGTAGACAGATAGACTGACTGACAAACGTACAGACGGATGGACGGACAGACAGAACGACAGACAAACAAACAGATAGACAGACAGACAGGCAGTCAGACAGATGAACAGATGGACGGACAGACAGACTGACTGATAGACAGACCGACAGAGACGGACAGACAGATAGACAGACAGACGGAAGGACGGACTGGCAGAGAGATAAACTGACAAACACAGGCATTATCTGACTGTAAAATAGGGAGTATGAAACCCATGATAACTGACTAGGAGGTAGATACAGACGAGAAGACAAATAGACAGAAGAATGAACGGACTGATAAGAATCTAGTGCCAGTTTTTCTTGCAGTCGTTGGATTAAACTCATACAAAGGAAGTGAGCAAACAAGCTGTCATTTGATTATGTAATTTTCTTTTTGAGTTCACGTACCAATATGTTACCGTAATCTAAACGGCCTCATGATTTTTTACCATGTTAATGTTATTTATTTGACTGATTTCTGTAAATTGTCGTTTAGGTGTATGCGTGGTTAATCCAAAATGAGTTGGACGAGTATGCCGATGAGTTCACTGCTAAAAAGATTGATGGAAAACAACTATTAAACTTAGATGGATCCAGACTCAAGGTAGGGCTCTGTGCCTTGTTTCAGAATTTTAATCTTTACCCCACCTCTCACGCCGCCTTGAATGGCTGACTTCTAGATTTTGTGTCAGTTTGCCGCAGAATAATCGAAACAGTTTGTAGAACTGAAGAGATAAGTTGCTCAATTTTCAAGCGCGAAAAGGAGAGAAATTCTCTGCAGGGATACTGCAGGAAGACATGATGTATCTGGTTCTGGCTTTTCTTCCCTCCCCTCCCCCACCGCCATTTTCAGCAAGGGAACAGTCATTATTTATCGCCTGTGGGGGAGGGGGTCGGAGAATTGTTGGGATCACATGGGTTCTTGGGGAACGGAGT